ACAATCAAATATTCTACTTGCCTATATGATATGACGTCATAGTAAGCTATATGACGTGAAGTTTAGAGATAACAATTTCTTATAATCGATATCTAAGATTGATTTGAGGTCGTAAAAATTAATCAAAATATGCAGAGGCATATTACAAACAGATTTTATCGTTTCTGGGACTCTGTAGTTATCACAGGGATTAAATACCAAACCCGTGTCGTCATAACTGTTGATCATGCAGTAGCAGAGTGAAAGTGAAACGTAACGAGAATTTATGTAAACAAACACAAGAATTCGGAGTTTAAAAGCATTTAGAATGATTATCATGTGTGATTCATGTGGGAATAAAGCTTATGAATAAGGTATGGTAATATACTTCAACAATTTCTTCGTAAAATTAAAGCAGGGAGGGTGTTTACTTGCCGATCAGCCTTTCCTCTGTCGTTCGTAACAAATAAGATGCAAAAGTTCAACACTACGCCGCACACTTTGAAACTTAATTTTTGTTTCTATCTAACGATCTTATTCTATTGTTTTTGGAAAGTGCTGCTAGAATCGTATGGTTTACGGGAATTAATGCACTTTTTTCGATGTTATGAACAAAATGTAAAAATTTTGGGAAGGTTTCGTCAGAAAGTGTTGAATAATTATTTCTGTGATAGGACAGTAGGATTCTAGCAGCACTTTTCATGGCACAGAGATGTTTTTGCGTGGACCCTGAGGTCCACGCAGTAAATATATAAGCGAAGTTAAACCGGATGCCCTGGGCAAACGACAGGCTACGCATGCGCGAGATCGCTAGAAAGTTCGCACCTTAGATAACTTGCCCGTATAATAATTCGCCCTATTCGAATTTAAATAAACCATTCATCGGCAAATCACGCTTTTAATTCTGCATATCGCATTTACATATGCATTGGCGGATCCGATTATCTCTCTTTTACATATACTTTTATATACAAACTAAACATTGATTCTATGGTACAAGCATTTTAAGAAGTTATAAATAGATATATATGTATAACTTAACTATCTGAATGAAAAACGTCATTCAACGAATAGAAAATCAGATAGCTTTTAAATAATACAGCAAGTTTTCGCCGTCATTAGTTTTGTGCATCAAGGCTCGAAAAATAAATTAGTGTTTCAGCAAACAAAATATCGTTTGATAAAGGTCTGTAGCAACGGCTTTTAATGTGTGATGTGTGTGTGTGTGTGGGGGGGGGGGGGGGGACCGACAAACAAATCTGCGTACTACAGAGCTGTGCTTCTCGTAAACCATCAGATCTCTATTTTTCATGATAAATTTCTTCCGTATAAATCCAGAACAGATGTCAAGTCCAAGTCAGTATGAGTTACACGTAGCAGAATAACCCGATTTTTTAAACTGACAAACCTATAGGACGCTAATCGGAGATAAAAATTTCACAATTTTGTTTTGAGACTACAATCAGTTATAAGTAGGCAGATCATTGTAGAAAAAGTGAACAAACCTACATGAATATTCCCTACACCTACAAATTTTATTACTTGAATTTTAGTCAGAAAAAAACATGCATATGGTCCACGTATTGCAGTCTTTTTTTAAAGGACAGCAACTTGTTCCATAATTATTCTTACAAATTGAAATAAATTATCCCCGGAGTAGTGTTGAACTTTTCACTTTTTCATTAAGGCATATTTTTCTAATTATAGCGCGCTTCATGAAATATGCCTACGTGCAAGTCTGTGTGATTCACACACCAATAATTCACACTAAACTTAAAAACATTCCTTATATTTACATTTTACACATTTGAAAGCACCAACAATATACTCAATATTTGAATTTCTTTCTGCCCTATATCGTTATACTTTTACTAACGTCGCTGTAGCCTTATTGTGACGTCACGTTAACGCACGTTTCTCCGTGTATATTTCTACGCGTGAGTATACACGAAAATGGTTTTCAAATCAATTTCACAGTTGGCTTAGTAAAAAAAATACAGTGAATGTAAACATTACAAATTGAAATAAATTATCCCCGGGGTAGTGTTGAACTTTTCACTTTTTCATTAAGGCATATTTTCTAATTATAGATGTCACGTGGTGACGTCGTGGTGAAGTGCTTCATGTAGTATAAATCCCATTGAAGTCTATACAATGCATAATTATAACAAAAGTTTTATGCTTGACTTTTCCGATTTATTAGTGTTACATAATTATAAAAAAGTCTTAATTCGCCGAATTTGGTCCATGTGCTGCCTTAACATACCCGCGTATCTTTGGAATAGTAAGGGATAGAGCTTTTATACTACAATTATGTTATCCTTGTGACAAGATCTTTCATTGGAAATCAACAACTTTGACCCTTTGAACTTGCAGTTTAACTAACTTTTACAAACTTTAACCTGGCTTTCGAACGGTAGGACCAGCGCTTTCATAATTCTCGTATGTAATCTTTGAGACAAGGCCTAATTTTTTTAGAAATCAACAACCGACAACCTTTGACCTTGACTCCGGAGTGTGCCCCATGACTTGATGTCAGAATCTATAATGACGTCATATCAAGGTAGTTCAGAGAAGTAACTACAGTTGAACAGTTTGATATTTTACGTACAGCCTTATCGTAGCTGCATTCATAAAAGGTCTAGTCTCTTAAAAAATCAGGGTTGTGTATTGAATGCCTTGTTGACACCCAGTGTCACTCGAATCTGGATTTCTTTAAATCTACACTTTCTCATGCCCCCAAAACTAGATACCAGTTGTTTGTAAATTAATAACATTTTATCCTACTTAAAATTTCAGATCGAAATAAGGTGGATTCCAAGAAATCCTAACTGTCTCATAGTGTTTTTTCTGAAAAACGGTGACTTTTGAACTCTGCTGTGTCTATACCTAAACTAAGTTAATTTTATATGCTGATTTTTACCTTGATCATGATTCTTTTGAACTAAAGAAAAACATATCCCCACCATTGCTTGGGTCCCTTCTCCTGAACTATCATGAGTTTTCCTGTTTTCACTCTTTAAAAAGATTTTAAATGCCTATTTTATAAACTCAGGTCACTGGATTTTTAGCTACTCGCTTCTACATTTTTTTTACTCTTTTCTCCACGACGGACCAATGTCATGTATCAATTTTTGCATGAAGAGATGCAGGAAACTCATCTTCTATAAAGCTCTATCATGATTGATTTCAACTATGACTAGTTTTTGTTGTAACGTGGGCCGTAACATATGTTCCCTTACCCCAACCCCCATCTCCACTTTTTGTGCCTTATTCCCGTACCTAAGAATTTTTACAAAAATACTCAGTTTCGAAGGATTTCATTAGAAATTTATAAAAGTTTAAATGATATGAACTAAATGTCAACGAAAAGAAATTGTCAGCATTTAGTTCGCCAGGACCAGAAGGGAGCTTGAAGTGCGGACAATGCCGACACTAACCTGCTATAAGGAATGTGTAGAGAATTTCATTTGTGACCTGCTACAGAAGTTGCCCCTTATGCGAATATGAGGGAAATCAATCTTACAACTGATTAAATAGCTGTGAGACGTTAGCTATAAGATTGTTTACAGTGTCACAAGGATAGAGAAGTCCTTACAGTTCATTCATACTGCGTAAGTATATTATAGCTACTAGGCTAGGTTATAGTTATACAGGCAACTGGGTTAGCAGAAGACACCAGGCAGGTGTCATCAGATAAGGCCTATTGTCAAGAGTCGCCAGGCAGGTGTTTTTTGACTTATATAGCCAGGTGTATAGTGAGGCAATTGTCATAAGGCACCAAGTACATGCCGATATTAACTGAAGATATATAATTATTGTACAGAGCACTTCGGTTACTTGATTTAAAGACACCAGGCAGGTGTCATACTATATCTGTATATATTTCATCAATCATACCCCCAATAAAACTCGGTAATCCGAGCACGGACCTACTGACACTTTCCAAAAATGGTGACAGCGTCTGGATTTTACTGGAGGTATGGATGAACGTGATAAATCAACTAAGAATAATCTTAGGGAATTCTTAGATTGGATGGAAGAGAAGCTAAAGAGTTTCGCCTTGACCAGTCTACACCTATTACCAGGGGACTTTATCAAATGACAACCCGCGACAGTGGGCTTGCAACTCGCCGGTGAGATGACTTATTTGACTATGACAGAACATTGAGGGACGTCTCAGATAATAGATCACAAGGAAAGAAAAGTACAATAAGTCATTGGGATGAAGGAACAGAAATAAAGGACACGCCATCCAGACGCTCATGGAACAAGACCAAAAGTCCGATTTGCCGATGACAGCCATGTTGGAGAGAAACAATAAGACATCTGGTTATCAGACAATTTGGCTAAAGGAACACACACGTGATAGCCATCCTCTGACTCATACGTCCATGAAATATATCGTCAGACACACAGAAACGATAGAGAAAGCTCACAGTCAAGTCAGCTACAGATGATGATTTTAGCTCCTTGCTAGATTACAAGTGTCACTTTGATTGATTGATTGATTGATTGTATACTGTTTAACGTCCCTCTCCAGAATAGTTCACTGATATGGAGACGTCACCATTGCCGGTGAAGGGCTGCAAATTTAGGCCTATGCTCGGTATTTACGGCCTTTGAGCAGGGAGAGATCTTTATTGTGCCACACCTGCTGTGACACGGGGCCTCGGTTTATACGGTCTCATCCGAAGGACCGCCCCATTTAGTCGCCTTTCACGACATGCAAAGGGGTACTGAGGACCTATTCTAACCCGGATCCCCACGGGGTGTGTCACTTTGAGGCTTGTGCCAATGTGAATGGTTGGAATGAAGAGAGAAAAGGATTGTTTCTAGCCTTATCACTAGGTGATCAAGCTCCGGGAGTCTTAGGGGATTTACCAACTGACAGATGCCAACATTATGAGACTTTTGTAAAGTCTCTGCAAGAAAGGTTTTCTCCTCCAAACCAAACTGAACTGTTCCGGGTACAACTTAAAGAAAGAAGACATAACCAGCAGAGACATTCTCTGAATTAGGAAAAACCATCAGACGATTGACAAATTTGGCTTATCCAACTGCACCAGGTGAAGTTCTTGACAAAATGACAAAGGATCAAATCATCGATGCGTTGATTGATTCTGATATCCGCATAAAAATCAAGCAGTCGCGCCCTGCAAATTTGAATGAAGCAATTAGCCTTGCTCTGAAACTGGAGGCATATAAGAGAATAGAGAAGAGAGGCAGAGAACTCAAAGGTCATCTCAGAGCAGATTTTGTTGAAAAACAACCTGACACTTCTGACAAATGTAATAATGGCAAAGTTGCACATTGGATGAAATCTGTTGAGGTGAACATGATAAGCATAACTAAAGAACTCAGGGAACTAAAGATCTCATACAAAAAAGAACTTACGTCAACAAGTACAGAGATACAGAGGCAAGTAGAAGAAAGCAGGAAATAAAATGCTATGAATGCTAAAAGACAGGACACATCATACATAACTGCCCTCTGTTGAAGAGAAGGCAAAAGCAGTCAGATAAATGGTCTGAAAAAGCATCTATGAAAAAGGTCAACAAAATGAAAAAGAGCATCAGGACCACTTATGTCTATAGGCCTTGGTTCATCTATATAGGAGTGTTGGTTATACATAGATGTACATGTTCAGGATGGGCAAAGGTCAGTGTCTCACGACCTGCAATGACCTGAAGCCCCTTCCCTCCACTAGTCCGGATAGAAGGAACCCGATAGAAGGGAGATCCTTCTAGGAGAGCACTCTCTACACAAAGCACAAACAGGTCTCAAACCCCTGTTGATTGAGGGATTGTCCACCTATAACACATGTAAAGAGTGTGCACCTGCGGATTCTGCGGTGGATATCGTCATGGTTTAATGGAAAAGAAGGCGGACACAGCAAGCACCGTGGAGTGCTTGGAGCAAGGCAAGGTACACTGTCCGAAACTATTTCGTGAGAGGGTATGCCTGACCAGTCACCCCTGCACCCACCGTCCAGATCAACCCCCTCCCCCTCGAAGATGAGACTTTGGTCATCGTCGCCATCGACGGACGAACAACACATATTCAAGTAGTAAAAGCTAAATTTCTAGTACACACTTGTACCACTGTTACCTTTGTTTCTGAGACATTGTACATGATTAATTTATTATATATTTTAACGTCCTTCTTGAGAATATTTTCAGACGTCACCGTATGCCGATGAAGGGCTTCAAATTCCAGTTTTTAAGGTTATATCCGAAAGACCCGTGGCTTTCTCTTCTAATGCGGAGCGCTTGGCGAAGGAAAAGACACTTACTATTTTTACATCTTATGTTTGACACGGCACCGCTAAAGGGCATCGAACCCGGCCTTCCGATCTCAAAGCGATCGCTCTACCACTAGGCTACGGTGACAAAAAGTTGTCAGTATCTGTGAGACCTAGGTTACAAGAGGTAAATCAAACCGTCATGTCAGCCAATGGCACTGCTCGAGATCTGCCTATTCATGAGAAGGCAGAATTCAATATTGGCATTGACCAGTTGACATACCACAATGAAGCACTGGTTGATAACTTAAAGGCAGATGGTATATTGGCTCTTGTTTTTAAGAAAAAAAATAATATCACTGCAAAGTAGATGTTAGCAATGAGGTTTCTGATGTCAATGGTTATGATATGAGAATGACAATTGAAGGATCACTTGTATGATTTAGAATTACAGCAGCTAAGAGAATGAGCATTCCGCCAAAAAGTGAGATAATTGTTCCTAGTAAAATGTGTGTACCAGAGGGTTAAGGTCTGCCATAGTGCGAGAGTATTATTGAACTTGTACAACAAACAACAGAGCACATTGACTGCAAGAACAGTAGTAACCCCCCTCCACAAGAAACCGTGCAAGTTAGACTAATGAATGTTGAACAGACATATACGGTATTACAGTAAATCTACAGCATGGTACGGTATTCCTGCTATGTATATATACAGTAAATCCTAATATGCCTTTGAATGTATCCATAGCATACCACAGTTACTTACAGTAGGCCCCTGTATGCCTTGAGTATTCACTTGTATCGCTACTGTTTCCTACAGACACTTGCTATATATCCCTGTATATGCCCCATTACGCCATGTATATGTTCATTGAGGCAAAAAGAAGTATACACGCTTCTAAAGCACTGTACAGATACCTAAGATGTGGGATTATCTATTTAGTACACATATTTATTTACCTGAGAATTTTTTTAATTACCTATTTGGTTATTGTTTTCATAAAATAATTTATTTTATATAAATTTATTTTTTTTCTAACATCTCTTTGCTCCATAAAATGCTTGGAGTGACTTTGTACCGTTTGTGAAATAAAAAACACAACAGAGGTAATGTTGCATTTTGGGAAATGTAGTTTTTAAAATTGATTGATTTTTATTTTTTTTTTTAAAGCTATTATAAGGCGTATCTGAGCTAAAAAATAAAAATACGAGATTAAGTGTAGATTTACATGATATTTGTTATTTACGTTCAAATTGAAATTTTCACCAATTTAAAACTGAAATAACCCCACGTTTATATAGGTTAAATTGACTTTAAACTGTGTCTGATATTTTCATCCGAGTCGGAAATAATTAGGTTATTGTTTTAAATCTCTGATATCTATTAAACGGGACTGATTTAAATTGGGTAATTTACAGGAAAGTCCTATCTTTATATGAATTAACATAACAAATAGAAAAATCTTTCTAATTTTAGTTAGTCTAAACTTATCGAAAATACGCCATATATCACTTTAAATAAACTAATTGACTGCATGTAATCAATCATTGGAAAAAATCAATCTATTTTTTTAATTGACGATACAAACAAATTAATTAATTATTTACCCAAAATAGGATAATTTGGCTTCTTCTATATAAAACGTTTTAGGATAAAATATATCTCAAAGTATTTTTGAAGCATATTTTAACTACTTTGAATTATTCTCATTCCATGATGGATATCAAATAATCCTCTCATTATGCACAATCTTAACCCGTCAATACCCTTTTCATACATCTGACACATGTGTTCCATACTTCGATATTTTACTTGAAAAAGACGGTAATTTTAAACCAAGCTATATGATAAACGTGATAACTTGAACTTTTTTATCGTTAGCTTCTCTTACTTATGCAGCAATACACATACATCACCTGCATACGGAGTGTATATATCTCAATTAATTCGATACGCAAGAGCATGCTCTACGTATGAACAATTTCTAAAACGAGGAAAATTGACAAGCAAGTTGATGAAACAAGACTACCAGCAGTGTCGTTCATCATTTCGTAAGTTCTATGGTCGATACAATAACCTTGTCAGCAAATACAATTTATCATGGGGTCAATGCTGACTTACGTTTTCATACTAATTGTTAGTCCATTATTTATACAGTGAATTGACAACGGATTTTCCGTCATTTCCCGATCGTTACCAGTCAGCAGGCCAAGGGATGCTCAGTCCTCCAGGGCACCTGATCCCACCTTAGATGTTTCGGAGGTCCGTGTCTGCTCTTCTCCTATTTTTTATTGTTTTATTGACTTTGATATGGAATAGTGTTTGTTATCTCCATATCTTTCTCATACATTTTATATTCCGTTAGCTACTTCCTTTCCTCAGCATATAAGGTATCTAAATGCTAGCTGTCTGTTTCTATATTGTGACTTGAATAATAAAAATTAATTTTGAATAAAATGTTACATGAAAATGTATTTGGCTATTATTGAGTGACAGAGTAATAAATGATTATTTATTTTTAGGCATATGTTTTCCTATTAAGGGTAATATCAAATAATATTATATAACTTTGTGAAATCCGATAATCTGATTGGTCAATACGAAGTACTTATTTTTTAATAACGACCGCTGAAAGCGAATAATGACTCGCACGATCTGCCTCGTTTTCACTTTCGCTTTAGACAAACATGGAAGTTAGTAAGTTGTAGGTAAGAAAAATTTAAAAGACATAGTGAAAAACTCTGAGGCTGATAATACAAAACATCTGTCAACATTTTTCGGGAATACTTAGCACATACCCTTTCATGGTTGAGTTCGACTTTTCCACTCACTCGGCGAGCAGAGTTTTGACGCTGTTTACGCGATTACGGAGACTAAAGAAAATAAAGACAAGCATGCCATGTAAGATTGTATCTTATCTTAGAAGACATAGGTATTCATATTTTGTGAGTGCATTTCCTCTGCAAGTGTAAACGAGTGCGATTCTCAATCTGGGGGAGGGGGTATTCTGTGCTATTCGGAGATAGATATATTGCGTTATTATTATGATATGGGCTAAAATTTATTACCGAAACAATTTCCTCTGAGTGATATTCAATGAATTCTGAAACATTTACATTCAACTTATTTATGGTTAATAATATCTCTGTAAACATAAGGAAGATATACAGTGTACTAAAAAAATTTGAAAATTATTATTTATATCATATAATAAATATGGACTCAATGCACGATCAATATGCATTTATAATGAGCCAGGAGGACAGATATTGACCTCAGATACATGAAGTATATCGACCTCGGGCTAGCGCCCTCGGTCGATATACTACATGTATCTTCGGTCAATATCTGTCATCCTGGGTCATCATGAATGCATATTGACCTACACTGAGTCCATATTTGTATATTATTCAGTGCATAAAATATGGGTTGAGTTTTGAGTAGGGGGAATTGTCACCTCCCTTTACTTTTTTTCTGCGAAAACGTGTGATTTTGATATTGATTTAGTATAATTGAGATAAATGGAAGCCCTCCCCAACCAACTCTAGATTGAATCGCAGCATCCCACAAAACACTATGTATATTTTAATCTTAAGTCTGAAATGTTATGGATTTGTATTATTGCATACAAAGTCTTTTCTTAAACTCTGCGTTTCATTTAAACATAATTTTATCTTTTTGTTTAAGTCTCTTTTCCTATTCAATATTCTTTTCAAAATATATTTGGAAATTTATAGTGAAACCTGACCATGTTGCCTTCCATGCGGTAGCTTACAGTAATTCCAGTCCCGGGGTGGTCATTTTCGATCACGTGATCTCAAATATTGGAAGCGGATACGACAATAGCTCCGGGATTTTCACTGTACCAACAACAGGTTTTTATGTGTTTTCTTGGAGCATAGAAACATTTGGACAGCTGACAGAATGTGTTCTTCTAAAGAACGGATTACAAATAGGAACGTCAAAGTCTGACCAAGCTTCATCATACTATGACACAACTACTTCTTTTGCCGTCGTTCACCTTACAATAAATGATAAAGTCTGGATCAAAGTAAAGAGTGGACGTGCAGAGGCGATGCATACGATGTTTTCTGGCTGGATGATCAATAAAACAGGTTTGGTATTCTTACCTCTTTTAAATACTAGTTGAGGGGAATAACTCTAAACAATTTTTTTTTCAAATGGAAGCGTGGCGTGTTCTCTTTCTTTTTGATAAAATACGCCTATAAAAATACAATATTTATACAGTTTATGAAACTAGCAACAGTAATGTTATTTTATTATATAGCTAATAAAAAGTCTTTTATAAAATACTACCAAAAATCTAGAGAATTTTAGCGTTAAATATCTTGACGTTTTATTGAAAACTGAGTTTGTATTACCTATACGAGTATGCCCGAAACATTCCGAAACGAGCATTCAATATCAAACGCCCTGTTGTAAACAAAAAAAGTTGTCTGGTCAAATTCTCAGAGCTAAATTTACGAGAGGACGTGGCATCTAGGTAAGTTGTGTTTATTTTTCACAAAAAAATGAAATTATTCATTTTATTTTTCACAAAAAAATGAAATTATTCATTGATATTTAGTACATTTTAGACCCATTAAAACCTAAATAAGCAAATCATATCGCTTGGTAGGGTCATCGGAATGATGCAATGCTGTTCCTGCACTGCTAGGAGACAGATTCCGTAGGTCGAGAGTTCAACCCCGGGCTGGGGCGGAAGTGGGTATCCATGTAAAAGTGATTTTCTTTGTGCTTTCTATATTAATATTTCTTCACTTAGGGCAGTTATATTAGTTCAAGAGTTGTTGTAAATTGTGCTTTATAAATAAATTAATTTCATTACAACATGTATTGGTAACAATCCTCTAAAAACTAATGTCCAAATAACTGTATCTCACTTCTATTCTCAATGACCGTGTAGTGTAGGGCAGCGTTGTGAGAATTCCATCGGCATCGAAAGCAAGTTTTTTAACTTGCCTAGATAGCCGAGCGGTCTAACGCGCTGTTCCTGCACTGCTAGGAGACAGATTCCGTAGGTCGAGAGTTCAACCCCGGGCTGGGGCGGAAGTGGGTATCCATGTAAAAGTGATTTTCTTTGTGCTTTCTATATTAATATTTCTTCACTTAGGGCAGTTATATTAGTTCAAGAGTTGTTGTAAATTGTGCTTTATAAATAAATTAATTTCATTACAACATGTATTGGTAACAATCCTCTAAAAACTAATGTCCAAATAACTGTATCTCACTTCTATTCTCAATGACCGTGTAGTGTAGGGCAGCGTTGTGAGAATTCCATCGGCATCGAAAGCAAGTTTTTTAACTTGCCTAGATAGCCGAGCGGTCTAACGCGCTGTTCCTGCACTGCTAGGAGACAGATTCCGTAGGTCGAGAGTTCAACCCCGGGCTGGGGCGGAAGTGGGTATCCATGTAAAAGTGATTTTCTTTGTGCTTTCTGTATTAATATTTCTTCACTTAAGGCAGTTATATTAGTTCAAGAGTTGTTGTAAATTGTGCTTTATAAATAAATTAATTTCATTACAACATGTATTGGTAACAATCTTCTAAAAACTAATGTCCAAATAACTGTATCTCACTTCCATTCTCAATGACCGTGTAGTGTAGGGCAGCGTTGTGAGAATTCCATCGGCATCGAAAGCAAGTTTTTTAACTTGCCTAGATAGCCGAGCGGTCTAACGCGCTGTTCCTGCACTGCTAGGAAACAGATTCCGTAGGTCGAGAGTTCAACCCCGGGCTGGGGCGGAAGTGGGTATCCATGTAAAAGTGATTTTCTTTGTGCTTTCTATATATATATATATAAATATATATATATATACATATATATATGACGTGCCTGTCAACGAGACGTGATACGGCTCTTCGGATCAAGTTACTGTTATAATGATAAATTTATTATATACCCCCTCATAACTAGGAAAATATATCGAAAGAAAACTTTAGTCATCAATTGCATAACATTTATCCATAATACAAAGCATAATTACAAGGGACTTTTTAACGCGCAAGAAAAATAACGTCATATTTCTGCGTACTACGTCATCAGTTTCAGAGAGTGGTGATATGGATTCAGAAAACAACATGTTGGTGATCCGGAAAATCGGATCATGACGTCACGTGATAGCGTAAATTGAACAGTAAAATTGGCTGATACACATTAGGTATATAATAATGAACGCTTACAGGACAGACGTTAATTTGAATACCGATACTAAAAAATCATTAATTTTAGTTTTTTTTTTCATTTGATAATTATGATAAATTATGTGGAAATGTTTTAGTTATATAATAAATAAATAATAAATAACTCGCAAGCTCGTGTATTTGAACAGCCAACTTGTGCCAATATTCACCAGTATGAATTCAATAACCCTATAGTATTGTATTGTACAATATTATGAGAAATATGTGTTTGTTTTTGTCAAGGAATTTAAATTTCTTTGTCAGAAATTTAGATTGATAAAATATTTAAAAGTTATAAGTACTATGTATTGAGTCGTCAATTTGTAAAAATGTTTAAAAAAAAATAATAAAAAAAATAAACAATAGTTTATTATAACTAAATACTTTTTTGAATTTTTCAAAGACTTTTTTTTCATTAATTCAGCAATATTAAAATATTTCATTGATTATGAATTTATGAAATATATATATGTAATACATATCATGGCTATATTAATAGTTAATGATACCATATAGTAATCAGGATGTCCGTCCGTCTGTATAGCTGTATCTCTTATCCGCAACTCCACTTATACCACTAAATGAATTTTGATGAAACTTTCAGAGAATCTTTATTGTATAATGCCATCGTGCATCTCCTATTTTACTCTTTGATGCAACACATATTTTAGGATCCAATAGCAAAACATATACTCTGCCATTACAGTTTACCTATGACGTGAGGTGTGGTAGTTTCTGGAAAACATGAAAAACAACGATTTATTCCTCTTTACACGTTATCGTAAAACAATATATAGAGGACAATTTCCCATAGCAAAACGTTGACACTGCCATAATTATATTCATATGGGTGGCGGGGGTAGTATTATTTAGTGCGTTCATTGCTCACAGTACCTCTAGTTTGTACATGCAGTACCAATAGTCCTATAACATATCATTAAATATACTTCCGTTACTATTTTTTATACCCCCACCCCGCTTGAAAAGCGGGAGGGTATATAGTAATCGTTAATTCCGTCCGTCTGTACGCCTGTCTGTCCATCTGTCCGTCTGTCTGTTATGCTTTGGGGTAACCATCTCTTATCGGCAACTCCTCTTATACTATTGTGTGAAATTTAATGAAACTTTCACAGAATCTTTATTATGTTCCCCAAACGAAGTTGGGGAACATATTGTTTTTACTCTGTTTCTTATTATTATTATTTTTCTTCTTCTTCTTCTTCCTGGGTACTTTTTTGTCCGGGAGTGATCTTGTAAACTACACATCCGACTTAGGTAAAACCTTTTTAGGGTCAGTAGGCATGTTATGTAGATTTGCGGAACGAAGGTCATTTTGCGCGCACGTGCTTGCAAGAGCGCGCACGTGCAACACGTGAAATGACCGATTTAATTGATATAGGCGTAACTTTTTACATTTTTGATGAAATGCTTTGAAACTCATAACATAAGGATATATTAGTAGCACAGACAACATGACATGGTCAAAATAGCAAGATCTCACGAGCATGCACGTGCGCTTTGCTCTGATTGGCTGAAACTAAAGTCTCAATATCTTACTTGTTTTTTTCACGAAATCCTTTGGAATTTTGAACACTGCCATGCATTAGGAAATCCTACAACATGATACATAGCAATTATCATGAAAACACGTGCATACACGTGCGCTGCAATCTGATTGGCTTAAACTTTAGATAGCTATAACTCCCTTGGTTTTCAACCAAACAGGATGGGATTTGGAACATAGATAGATATAATGGACTTCTACAAGAAGGTATGGTCATCATGCTCATGTATGCACGTGCGTGCACTTCAAATGAGTAAAATCAAAAATACACTTGATTAAGCGTATTTTCTAATACTTTTGGATTAAATACTTTAATATTTAGTATTTTAAAATATATTGATTGTGTAGACAAGATGATATGGCCATTACGCACATGCATTCACATGCGCACGCGTGCAATGCTAAAACTTGAATGAACTTGGTACACTTCTGGGTAAACGTTGTTAAAGTCTCAAATGCATAGAGTTTGTCTTATTTAATGAAGCTTACAGGGAATATGGCACCAAAAGTGAGTTGGGGAGCGTTTGGGGAACATCTGTAACGGTCCCCGTTACAATTAGCACTAGTTATATATTGCCATTGTACACTTCCCATTTTATTTTTTTAATCGACAGAAATTTTAGGTTTCCCATAGCAAAATATGGACATTGCCATTATATTCTATATATATATCCTATGACGTCACCTGTAGAAGCTTCTGGATAACATTTGATAAGACGAGTTATTCCTCTTTACACATTACCGTAAAACAAAAGCAAAACATTGACATTATGGGAGGCGGGGAATATCATTTAGTGAGCTTATTGCTTACAGTACATCTAGTTTTTTTTTCTGGGATTATTCTTTGAAAGTAAGTGACAATGAATTCTTGAAAATTCTACCGATATGTTAATTAGGCAAATCGATTAGTCAGGAGATAAGAAGGCCTAATACTCATGTAAATTTCTTGCCCGTCTGTCTTTGTGTCTGACGCTAAGGATGCTAAATATGCCTGTAAACATCGTGCAGCTGTCTTTGTGTTTGACGTCAGATGGCGAGGACTATTGAAACTGACATGAGAGCCTCTATATTTTTAAAATCTAAATTATCAATTTTGTTTCACAATGAAATGGAAATATAAGGAATCACTGTCTGGTTAGTCTAGTATTTTAAAGAAATCAACGATAATTGGAAACTTGTGATAATTTATAAAATTAGGGTTTGGATTTTTCTGGAACTGTTCAATTTTAATCTGTATGTGATGTCTGTAAATATGATCATGTATAAATCATCGTACAATGATATTTCACACTATCAATTTGCAGACCAATTATCTCAGTATTAACTTTGCACAAATACATTCGATTGAACTGTTCTTAAATGTAATAGGAGCAAACATACCACGTAAAATGTATACAACATTACAGATTCCTGTCTACTCGTTTTAGATTCCGTCTTATATTGATTATTTCTTTCATTTCAAAAAAAGAAACTATGATGAATTACATCAATTTTTTAACTGTTATTTTCAGATAGCACAGCATTTTATGCTTCACTTTCCCGTGATATAACTGGTTCTCCCATAATCTTTAACAACGAAACCCTAGACACAGATGATGCTTACTCCACGTCTACCGGGAAGTTTGTGGCGCCTCGTTCTGGTCTTTACATTTTTATGATGTCCGGACTTATTTATGGAAGTTACGAATTCGCTTGCAAGTTTATCGTCAGTAACGGTTATTCTCAGCCAGAAGTTTGGGTAGATTCGACTAGTGGGTATTATGACAGTGGCAGTTACATGACATTTGCCTGGATGAATACTGGTGACTCTGTGTATATAGAGGCCCAGAGGTTGACGACTACGTCCATGTTTGCAGGATGGCTGCTGGTGGATGACACAAACGGTAACTACTTATAGATTTTTACATAAACCTGATTGTATGATCTGTATTTTTCCTTTCCTGACATAAGTTAATTAATATTTTTTCCCGGAAGGGAATTATAACATTTTGTATCATTTGAGAAATTTTATAAAATTATTTTTGAAAATCGTACTGCGTCAGAACCAACTCATATATCTAAACGCCGAACTGTTTAAATTGTATCTCAAGATAATTGAACAATATGTGTCACTATTACATGTATATCCAAAGTCAAAGATTTTATCTGACTTTCTGGAAAAAATAGAGAAACAGTTACAATAACTAGTACCTGTTAGTAACTGATTTTTTACCATCTCGCGATTCTGTTTCTTTTAATTGTTAAAATACAAGCTGGGAGTTTAAGAAAAGATGTTTTTCAAATCCGTGAAAATGAAGACAGGACCATAAGTTCAATCATTTTACATGTAAATTATTATGTTTGCTTTACGTAAGTATCATCATCGTTCATCATTAATCTTTTTACTGTTGGTGCTGACATTGTGAAGTAATATTTTTAAAGAACGACAGAAAAAAGGCGATGCTTAAATAACTAATACTTCCTACAGATTACAGTGCTCAGAAGTTAAGCAATTAGTTATGATTTACTGTAAGACTTTGTAAAAATGTTTTAGGGTCTTTCGTTTCTAACGGAAGACCTTATTGTTTTCGTTCGGTTTCTTTTTTCCTATTATTATTCTTCCAACCAATTTTGTGCACGGAATTTCTAAGAAACGGCTGGTCCGATTTATATCAAATTTCAGGTGTAAAAGATTTTCAATTGATCTTGATAGAATTTTTTTCTGATGATTTCACAGCCGGTCATGAGATATGGACGATTTTCTGATTTTCAGAGGGTCGGCTTTTCTGTGAAACTCCTCCTAAATGACTTCAGATATTGAGTCAAGATTTTGAGTGAGAGTAAAGGAAGGTTTGCTGAGTTGCAAATTGGTGTCCAAATCTTTCTAGCGCAAAAGACGCCGGAGCTCGGTAGGGCCTGAAAAAAAATTCTCAGAAACATCTCACAAAATTTGGCACCTTTTGTTTCATATCTTCTGACCTGTTTATAATTTGTTAAAATATATTGAATAAAACTTGTGCAGAATGCTAAGAGCTTTTATGTAATATCAAGAAAAGGGGCTGATCCCTCAAAATAGGGTTCTAGAAGGGCCAAGAGTCTTTTATCGATATCTCTTTAATGAACAATATTTTGTCATAAATTACTGAAGCAAAATGTTCATCTATCCATAACAATCTGCAACGATATAAAGTAAAATTATTATCAATGTTACGCAAATTCTTTGATTCTTTATACCTCTAAAGCAGAATCGTATTATAAACAATATACAACAATTCAATGTTTGCTAAACAGCTCAATTTAGAACTTGAAGGGCTGGTCCCTATATATTTCTATTCTACATAGCTCAAACACGAAAAGAGTTTCTAAATAGTTGGTGAACATAAAATCTTTCAAAATATGAGACTTATCATTTGTTATGAAGCAAAAGGGGAATGAACCCTCAAACAAGGGACCTTGAGGGGCCAAAAGACTTTTATCTATCACTCTTTCATTATCAATGTTTTGTTATAAATTACTGAAGCAAAAATGGTTATTTTACCAATCTGCAACAATATCTTGTAAAATTATGATAATATGTTACGTAATTAAGGGACATAAGGGGCCAAAATCCTAAATCTTTGATTCTTAATTTATACAACTGTAAAAAATATTTCGATAAGCAATATTGAACAAAATATATTGAAAGTTGTTGAAGCAAACAATCTTTCGAATCTTGGGATGTATTATTTGATATAAAGATAAATGGTCTTTCCCTTTATGTTAGGGGCCCAGAAGGGCCAAAAAACTTTCATCTATAGCTTTTTATAATGTTATATAAATCAGAGAATTAAATAAAATGATTGAAGTCTTGATATCATAATGTTTTAACAAAAAACAACATTGTCAAAATCATAACTCATCTTATCGAAAAATCGGACGAAAGACCTACTCGTTGCTCGCAACGAGATCTTATCTAGTTTTATTTTTAATTTTTCTTTACAGTGTCACAATCAACATATCCAGGTTTTTCAGCTCATATAAACAGTCCATCTTCCACAACACCAGTTGTTTATGATAGTCCTCATGGTACGTATCACCATGGCTACTCAACAAGCACGGGAATATTCACTGCCGATCGTGAAGGATTATATTTGTTTTTGTATAATACGGATGCTAAAAGTGAAGTTGTACGTACTGCACTCACAGTCAACGGAGTGGAAATATTCGAAACAAGGTCGGACGGACGTCGCACTGTATATGATGACACTTCTGCTGTAGCTGTCCTTCATTTGTATTCAAACGATAGTATTTTTATAAAAATTAAAGATGGGACAGTTGATGGTTATGAGTCGCTATTTTTTGGCATACTTCTCTTTCAAATGTGATATCATTCTTTTTTCTTTTTAGGTAGGATTCTTCTCATATTTTTTGTTTTTAAAAATTAATGAAATTTTCATAGAATCAAGAAGACAATATTACTAAGTGATGGTATCAGTCGGATTAAATTTGACCGTTTAATATCAGAGGCTCAAATCTTTAAGTAGATTGGAAGCTTTTAAAAGCTAACATAGTTCTAGTTTGTTCGAAAAAAAGTCATAGCTATTTGATATATTTTTAAACTTTAGTCCCTTATTATTTATTCAACTTAAATGTAAAAGTTTTTCAAGTCTTTGAAAGTGTAAAAATAATAACTGAATTTATTAATCCATGATACTTTTTGAGAGGCAGAAAATAAGATATTTACATACGCCACCATTCCGCAAATAATATAGTCCCTGGTAGTTTTCAAACGCAGTTTACCATTTCTATTTAAAGTTGTAAAATCATGATGAAAAAAGAAAGATATGGTCTTTTAAATCTCTTACATCTAGATATACAAGTCATTAGCAAATATGCTTTGAATATTTCATCTACTCAGAAATCAGAGAAGAATCCTACCTTAAACTATTTGAGATAGCGTCATAATGTAAAAAGTTTTGATTTTTTTAATATTTGTAACTACTTTATGAAGATATTTTTGAAAAACCTTTTAACTTGAATTTCAGCCGCAAATGACCCCTTTTCAAGGTTCATATCAATGGAATCAGGACAACTCCCCCTCAAGCAAACTAGCCTAAATTTCTTAATTTTAGTTAATAAAATATATTTCTTATGCAAATTTAAATTATGATTAATATGTTCCATTGTTTATGTAATAGGTTGTAATTTTTTCACTTGTTTACATTATATTTGTGCATAAAGTAAACACAGTGTATGCATTTAATATTAATCATATTTCTTTTCTTAAATTTTATCATAATGAAATAGAACAAGTAAATACAGTTTGATTTATCATATAAATTTTATAAAGGACAAGTGCACTTAAGCTAGGAAAGTTGGGCACCAGTGCTTTGAAAAAAAAAGGTTTCGAACTTTCTTTACTTTTTTGTATAAGAGTCAACAAAACTGTCTTTCGAGCAGGGTTTGGTATATTGATAATATTTATTTTCTGTTGATATTCATATGCATAACAGTTTTCAACGATTGTTTACATCGGGCCGCAACTTAAACTAAACTAAAAAACGACAGGCCTAAGAATTGGGCAAGAGTGCCACTGTGAAACTCTATCAGAGAAGACAGAAAAGCCCGTAGAACTAAAGGATTTTTAAATTATCATAATTTCATACCTGTACATGCATATACTTTGTTCACATATTCTTATGTGTAATCATATCATAGTTAATAAAATATTTCACATTCATATTTATAATCGTTTTGATTAGTTAAAGGATTTGATTCTGGTAATTGAATTATTCACCAAAAATTGAAACCGTTGTCATTTGTATTTTTTGACGTTGCAGATTGCTCCGGGTGTAAGAAAACGATATCATATTAAATAACTCGAATTCTTTTCAAGTATACATTATAAGATTTAGTAATTCATCTGCAAAGAACACACTTTATCCACCCAAATAAAATTATAAGAAAACATTAATTTCTTTAAAAGATATGAGCTCAGTCTTCAAAATGTTGGGGGTACACTCGTATTTTTAATGCAGAGAAAACTCAAATCGCCTGCCTTCCATACGCAGGTAAACAAACAAATTAAGTCTTTGGTGTTAAATGGAATGGGGTAACCGAGACATGTGTGACCTACAGTACAGCTCACGAGTTTTTGCCACCCCACGGTGGAAAATACACGGTGGAAAATACACCGTGTTCCACCGTGTACACGGTGTTCCACGGTGTGTGTATATTGCAAATACCCAATGTCCACGGTGGCACACCGTGTGGTTCCTCGGTGGCACACCGTGTGCCTTCGGGACTTCGGGTGTGTATATTGAAAATACGCAAATGTCCACGGTGGAACACCGTGTGGTTCCTCGGTGGAACGTCGTGTGCCTTCGGGACTTGTTCGTTAATCGCGCCGATTTATCGTGTTTTTAATTCATTTACTAGTATTTAGAAGATGTAATAAAACCATAAGAAAGGGTTTTTGGAAATGCCGATTTTGTCGAATTATCGTCCGTAAAATTCGTTAAATGTGTAGATTATGAATAATCAAAATTAAACATTCCAAACGAATAGAAATGATTTATTAAAAACAAAAAGAAAGGAGAAGAAAATATATTTACCGCGTAATTCCGCACGTAATCAACCTGGGGAAACATTTTCTAATTCCGATACATTTAAGTTTTATTTTAAAGTTCAAAGTTGATCGAATTGGTTGATTATCTATCAAACTTGATAGAAACTAGTGCTAATTGTAACGGGGACCGTTACAGATGTTCCCCAAACGCTCCCCAACTCCCTTTTGGTGCCATATTCCCTGTAATCTCTATTAAACAAGAAATACTTTATGGAATTAAGACTTAATCAAGGTCTTCCCAAAAGAATACAAAATATATTTATATTTAAGCATTGCATGTGCTTAAGAACCATATTCTTGTCTACACTATCTATATAAAATTATTTTAATATACTTGATATCAAATCATTTAATCCAAAAGTATTAAAAAATACACTCATTCGAGTGTATTTTTAATTTTACTCATTTCACGTGCACATACGTGCAAGCACATGCATGATGACAACACATTCTTGTAGAAGTCCCTTATATTTATCAATGTTCTAAATCCCATCTTGTTTGGTTGAAAAACAAGGGAGTTATAGCCATTTGAAGTTTCAGCCGATCAGATTGCAGCACACACGTATGCGCGTGAATTTATGAATTTTTATCTTTATCGTATTGAAGGATATCTTAATGAATGACTATATTTAAAAATTCCAAACATTTCGTCAAAAAACAAAGTAGATATAGCCATTTAAAGTTTCAACCAATCAGATTGCAGCACACGTGCATGTGCGTGATTTCATGAAAATTTTCCTATATCATATTTTAGGATATCCTAATGCATGACTATGTTTTAAATTTCAAAGCATTTCGTCGAAAAACAAAGGAGATATAGCCATTTAAAGTTTCAGCTAATCAGATTGCAGCACGCGCACATGCGCATGCTTTCATGATAATTTTTATATATCATCCTGTAGATCTTCATAATGTAGGACTATGTTCAAAATTTCAAAAGATTATGAAAAGAAACAAGAAAGATATTGAGACTTTAATTTCAACCAATCAGAGCGAAGCGCACGTGCATGCGCGTGAGATCTTGCTATTTTGACCATGCCATCTTGTCTATACTACTAATGCATTCTTACATTTTGAGTTTCAAAAAAATTCATCAAAAAAAAGAAAAGTTACAGCAATATCCATTATATTGGTCATTTCACGTGTTGCACGTGCGCGCTCTTGCAAGCACGTGCGCGCAAAATGACCTTCGTTCGGCAAATCTACATAACATGTCTACTGACCCTAAAAACATTTTACCTTAGTCGGATGTGTAGTTTACAAGATCACTCGTGGACAAAATTTTCCCAGGAAAAATAATAATAATAATAAGAAACAGAGTAAAAACAATATGTTCCCCAACTTCGTTTGGGGAACATAATTATGAATCTGTAAATTGTAAACAGGAATTATTTCTGTAGACGATGCATCTTACGACCCAGTAACGGAACAATTCATTAATTGTAAATTTTAATTCTGGTAAAAATTAATGTGCCGTATGCCGTATTTTACTACTTCTACATTTGTTCGTTTTTAAATAACAGAAATGATTGCTGTGTAAAAATTCCAATTATTAATATAAGCTATCATCGTATCTAACGCTCTCTTTGGGCAAGTATTCGCTGCAACTTTTTATCAGATCTTTATTTAAAAATACATGTAAACGGGTGTAATAAAAAAAAAGAGAAAACAGAAATCATAATAAAAAGGACTTTCCAAAATTGTTCACCTTCAAACACAACTTCAAAATAGATTTCTTGTTCTATTTGAGTGAATGACTTTTATATCACTGTGTGCGTAATAATTCATTATATCAACTATATCATTGTTTCTGATCGTTCGTTTATGACATTTGTACCTTTTGGAATAAAAGTGCATATGTGTAAAATACGAAATCCCAACTACTTTGTTTGGAGTAGACGTTTGTGCTATTCACGTTTGATGACTATAAAGCCATGATTTATTAATTTTTTTTTAATATTAGTGTTTGAATGCATTTATTGCATCATATCCGGTTTTTTTTAATTACGAGTTGCATGTATTAATCTTGTCCGGAATCACTACATCAATATGGCCCTGCATAGTACTGCATGTCAGACACGGTCATTATACCAATTTTCATACACATATATGTAAATAAAATGTTAAAATATGTTCCTATATTACTTCATATTAAATGACGAAAAATTAAATGCTGGCACGTAGCTACCGGGGAGTGTGGGGGGGGGGGGGGACTGGTTGTCCCCAACTGTTTGTCATATAAGGAAAATGTAGAATATAAAAATAAAAAAAAGTTGGCTTCTTTTTGGTAATTCATTCCTTATGAGTAACCTTTATAAAGCAAGCTACTGTAGTTTAGACGTTTACACAAAAACATATTTACCTTGCTTTTTCACTTTCGCAAGAGTTAATATTTCTTGCACTTAAATAATTATTTCTCAAGATATTCAACTTTATAAAACATTCTGGATGTTTTTTGAAAAAGCTAGAATTATCAAAACGGAAAATAAACAAAAACATACACCCCCTGGTATTCTTTTTGTTTCACCTTTCTTTAGAAAAGTCTAAGGCATAACTGAATTTTTAACGTTGACGAATAAATTATCCCACCTTATTTCTAAACATGGATTTTCCTACGCATCACACGTACATTTTGAGATAGCTATTCTTCACTATATATACTTCTTTCCGTTTATGTTGTCATAATTACTGCATACCTTCCTTGAATAAATAGGAATTAAACTGTTTCAAAATGCCCTGTGTCCTTAAATTATTTGATTTTGTCTTTCGCTCATGCTCATGTAATCCACATTTATAATCTTAAAATTAATTTTATGCATATTCAGCCCCCAATAACTAATAAGATATAAAACACTACAAACTACAAATGCCAAATTTATTTTATCATTTTGAATCACTAATATTTCAATATTCAAAGATATTTACAAGACATTTAAAGCCAGAATAATATTGTACATGTACATATCTCGAGACGTAAAAACAGATCAGCAAAATTAAAATGTCATACATGTTCCTAGGGAAACTACTGAAAGAAGTGATATATGGTAACAAAATCAAACACCATAAATACATTTTTGAATAATCCGATGTCATTTTTTTTTTTTACATTTATACAACGTTGACATGTTCAACGTCATGTGTGGCAATCTTGTCAATCAAATACGCTAATCCGTTTTCCATTCAGATTTTCTCAAACGAGACACAATTGTTTGTCAAAACATGTAATTAACTAAATGTCTGCGTATAGAAGAGCAGTGAGGGGTCCGTGTGGTCTCTGTTGCTCATCTTGAATTTCTGCGAGGGGTTCGAGAACTAGTTGTCTGGGTTGGTCTTCCTGAACATCGACTCCGGATTGTTGTGGTCGCTGGACTGCATCTTCTTGAGTAGGCACACAATCGTCCGTAGCCAGGTTATTTACTTTGCTCGGTTTCTTTGGGCGTCGGAGGCACTCATTGATCCTTGCAACAACCCGATCCCTCCAGACCGCTGGATCCTTTACTTCCGGGTGATAATGCTCGACGTAAGTCTGGATTACCTTCTTCTTTCTGATGTCCAAATCCCTTTTCCCCTTGGATCCTCCACCATACCAGTTGAAGTTTACCTTGGATCCCGTCGCGAACAATTCCTCAAACAATTTCTTCAACAGAAGGCAAGCAAAATGGCCAGGGTTGTTGGCTTCTTGGTGAAGACTGGCCAGGATATTGTCCGCAATCCGAAGGTCTTCCGGAATCCGGCTTTGAAGGTTTTCCGTTTCTTCACTGGCAATCTCTGGAGCAGCTGGTTGTTCGGGTCTGGCTACGCTGAGGCCCTTGGCAATTGTCTCTAGTCGTAGAATTCGCCGATTGGCAGCGTCAAGTTTGGTGTTTGCAAGGCGCAAATCCTGGCTGATGGTGTTTACCGTCGTTTGAAGGCCTTTTAGCTGGGTTGTTATGGTTCTAAAGAAGCCCGTGTTGTCGGTGGTGTCTTGCGGCGTGCATGGATGGCCTGCAAATACTGGTGGGGATGGTGCTGCTGAAGTGTTTCTGCCTGGGGTGATGGTTGGTGATGTTAATGATGGGGTTGCTGGTGTTGTAGACCGTTGAGCATCAGGTGCGATCACGTTGGTGTTGGTTGTGTTGTTGGTGACAGGCGTTGTGTCTTCTGATCTTGGTCTTCTGATCGGCGTAGTGTCTATGTCTCTCCCGGCAACGGAAACTACCTTAGCTGCCACCTGTTTGAAGAAGAAGAAAATAAAATAATAACATGATAACAAGAAAAGTTTATTTGTAGAAAGTTGTTTATGAATGTAACTAAACTTTTACCCATCATTTTATGAAATCAATAAGTAAATGTGCATACAAGTTCAGTATTATTTCCCAAAGTATTATTGTGCAAAATTCCCCGGAACATATGCATCTTACTGTCAGAGTAATAAATCTAATATATGCACCGGGATTTAGATCGTTTATAAAAAAAAAAATGAATTGTTAAAAGAAAATATTTTTATACAAACAATTTTTTAGCGATCAAAAAGCCTGTCGTACAACTTGCCATCAAATATGTTTGCGTACAATGTAGGTTAAAATTTTTTAAGGTATGATTCAATGTCCTACATGTGCTGAACAGAGTACACTAGTACTGTACCATAAAGTTCTTTAGAGAACGCTTGTAAATTTTCAATATTAAATGCAATTTAATGTTCTACATTAGTTTAACATAAGAAAAATATTCTTTAAGAATTAAATGAGTATGTCTTCCTTACTTTAGAAGTTTTGTTTTTAATTTCAGGTTTCTGTTTTTCGTTTGATCCCGGTCCCGATCTAATATTGTTTTATTGTAAATGTGAAAAATAGTACATTTTACGTAATTAATACAATTAATTCCATACTTGATGAATAAATTTTAATTGACGATAAGCCTGAAACATAAAAGTAATCGAGATCACGATGTTAATAACTTTCAATGCATTGAATCACGAATGCTTTCTTGTCAAAATATAGCTAAATATCCTCAAATATTTGAGAATAAATATTGCAATATTGTTTTATAAAACTGTTTAATCAATATATATAAATAGTCTAATTATATTAAATAACACAACTTTTCTAGCGTACCCTGAAGGTCTCTATCAAACTCTGTTTAGCAGTTCCCCGGTTCAATTATTATTTGTATAGAAAAAAAAAAACAAACTCATTCATGTTTGTTAAAAAAAAAATAAAAATAATCAAAATAGCATTTTTAATTTATAATATTCTAAAAATGTCCTATTCCCTTGGATGTGGGGGCATATCTTACATTTGTAGATCTTTTAAAACCGGGATTTTAACAAGAAATCTCGGATAATCTTTTAACATTTATTTTCTCTTTCAACAAAATCAATTCATTCAAATTGTTATGATATTTTGATCAATGTCTTAATTATCTCACAAAGGAAATCTCTTTAGTTAAATAAAAAAATGGGAATGAGATTAAAAAACACACACTATAACTTCAGCATATCATCGATTGTTAATTGAATGGAGTAAGTCTGAGTGCTAACGCGCTACCAAAAATCCTCGCAATTAACATAGAAATAACATAAAAATAACAGTAAATACTTGAAATTGCCGATTGTGTACATTATCAAAAGGGCCGTTATTCGGGGTTGACTATTTATACCGCCTCGCCGAGAGAGCGGATATCAGTATTCCATTGAAGACAGAAGAGAGAAGACGAAGAAAGAAGAATGAAGAAAAGTCCGCCCTGGCGAATAGACCACCAGAC